CTCCCCTCCCCCACGGCCTCCTCCTCCTCCTCTACCCTCTCCCTCGCTGTCCTCTCCCCAAGTCCTCCCTTCTCATCCCTCCCCATCCCTCTCTCTTACTGGCTTTCTCCTGCTCCCTTTCTCCAATCCACCCTTCTCTCTAGCCCCTAGCCTGCTTGCCCTCTCTCCCTTTTCCCCATTCTTGCTGAACTCCCTTGATCCCTTCCTTGGGTTGGCTCCCTTGCCCCATCCCATCCCCGCCCTGTCCCCTTTGTACCCTTTCCTCTCTTTTTCTATCTCCTTCTCTGGCTTGGCGTCCTTTCTCCACCTCTAACTCCCTTCAGCTCAGCCTCCCTGTCTCTGCCTGAGTCTTGAGCCACCATGCTGACCCCAATGGTGGCTGGGGGGGTGGTGTTCCCCGGACTCTTCCTCCTCTCAAAGAACACGCTCCAACGGCTGCCCCAGCTGCGCTGGGAGGAGGCTGATGCGGTCATTGTCTCAGCCAGGTAAACTGCATTCCTTCCCCTTGGTCCCTTCTTCCCCCATCGCAGGCTTTACGGGGATCCCAGGTCTTCCCTGGACCCTTGGCCCTGTGGGCACTTGGGACTTCTGTAATGGTTGGTGGGCTTTACTTCAAGCTTCCTTCCCTCCTCATGGCCTTACTCACTGTCTCAGGGGACCTCATCCAAACCCAGCCATCTGGTCTACTAGTATTGAGGCTGCTTTCTTTCCTTCCCTTATTCATCTTCCCACCTTCCAAAATAGGGCCAGCTTGTGACTGAAACATTTCTATGAGAGGTTAGGGAAGAAGGGGCAGAGAGCCTGTATGTATGTATTCAGGGGTGGGATGGGGGAACAAGGGGCTCAGGAGTTGGGATAAGGAGGGTCTAGCGTGGTGGTGGTGTTGGAGAGTAGGAATTTGGGGTTACTAGGGACCAAAGAGCTAAGCAGCATAAAGGCTGAGTGGTGCCAGGACGGGCCCAGGGCTCCTCTTCCCTCTCTGTGTGCTGTGCCCTCCACTCAAGAAGAGGCCTTATAAGCAGTATGGTCTCACCTCAAGATGACCTCCCTGGTGTCCTCCCGAGGGGAAGGTGACTCAGTATCCAAAAGGAAGAAGGCATAGAGAAATGAGATAACCTGAGGAATCGCAGCTGAACAAATCCCAAGGCCATTAAGTGGAGGGCTGGAGAACCCTGGTCAAGCCCAGGCAAGAAGTGACCAAAACTGAAGCACAGTTAGCTAGACTAGTGAAGAGGGGAAACTGAGGCCCATAATCCTTCTCTTCTATCTGCTCTTTGCTTTCTTTCTAGGCTAGTATCCTCAGTCCAAGCGATCATGGCCTCTACAGCTGGCTACATCGTCTCCACCTCCTGCAAGCACATCATTGACGACCAGTAAGTGCCGTGGGATCACCTTAGCCCTGCAGACTGTGTATGTATGACTCTGGATACTCCAGATCTTCTAGGGAACCTCTTCAGCCCTTAACTTGGGCCTGAGCAAGTTAACTACAGGAACTGCAACTCAACACCCAGGGATAAATTTATCCCCGTCCTGTCCTTAAAGGTCAGAACCAGGAGGAGGAGTGGGAATCAAACAGTACCTAGTCGGCTTCCCAGCCTCTTGTATTGTTGTAGGTTTTCAATGTCAAGTGTCGGTTCCTCTTTTACTGCCTCCCACCCTTACACCCTTCAGACCCCACTTCAGATGAGAACTCAGTTGGGGCACTCCGCCTTCTCAGGCTGGGCTCACCCCTCATCACTACACAGAATCCAGGTGTCTAGCCCCAATTCCGATTGGAGAGAAGAGACACAAACAAAGCCACTAACAGTCAGGCTAGTGGGGGGCAGGGGAGGGAGGTGAAGAGGCCAAAATTTGGCACTGGCAGATGCTGCAGTGCCTGGTGCTTGCCAAAAAGCCCAGGCCTGAAGGTGGGGCAGGAGGCGGGAGGAGAGGGCCCTGTCCATGGTGCTGACAGACCCGCTCTAGGTGACCTGCAGGCTGATGCACTCTTAGACCCTGTTCCCATTGTCGGGCAGCCATGGAGCCCCAAGGCCTGTGGCCTGGCTGCCCCTGATCTAAAGGTGCTTCTGTTCTCTGTTTGCCTCTCCATCCTTGCAGATGAGTTCCTTCATCCATAGTGAGGTCATAGTCCCTGGTTGGAAAGTAGTGCTGTGAGGAGGAATTGAGTTGATGTGTGTCAAATGCTTAGAGCAGTTCTTGGCTCCTACATAGTAGATGCTTAACCCTTTCTTCAACCATGGCTTCTTGGACCATTTTCACTATTTCCCCCACTACTTTCCCACTACGGGGGCCTGAGATGACTCTGGATTCCCCCCATTTCCTCCTCACACACCTTCTTACTCTGAGGTCACCTTTTGGCTCTTTCGTTCCTTTCTCCTTGGTTTGTTCCTGTCCTCCCTCTTTAATCCTCAGGTGGGTGGGAAGGATCAGGGTTAATCTAGGGGCAACAGCTGTTCCTACTTTTGAGCACCTTATTGCTGAGAGGGTAGGGCTGGAATTTTAACACTTCACATCGCACCCCAGGGCTTGGAAGCTGCCCCTCTACCCAATCCAGTGGTCTCTTGTGTCTTCTGGGACGGACTTCCTGGGCTGCTTCCAGCTGTTGGATCCTTTTTAACTCATGTTGTCCCTTTGTTTCTGCCATATCTTATCTCTCTCCCCCTCTGGCCATACATTCCAGCATCACTGCACCATGGTTCTCTGGTTCTCTCAGCCTGCCCCCATCATCCCTTCTAGAAGATGGGCTGCCCTGCCTTCCCAGCCAGGTTTTCCCCTAGGACCTGCTTCGGCTTCTACCTTACCCTCTGTCCTTAGCTGCCCTTAGCCCTAGGTCTTTTCTGTACCTCTCATTCAGCATCTCCTCATATTTGATCTCAGCTCTTCTACTAGGCAACTTCTGGATGACTTTGCTTCTGTGCTTCCACCCAGCTGGCCAAGTGCCCCTGGGCCTCTCTGAGCAGCCCCACCCCCAACTTGTCTCGGACCACAAGATATAAGAGAAGGTACTCAATGTACTGACTCAGGCAGAATAAATGCAATGTTGCATATTCATGTCCTTTTCATTGTTGTTTACTCTCAAAATACACAGAACTTGCTCCATTCTTGGCTCCTTTTGCTCAACTTTTCCCCTTAATGCTTGTCTGTGTCTGAAAAAAAAAACCCCAAGAGATTGGGCCTT